GAAATTACAAACAGACACTTCAATTTTATTTATTTGTATAGATGTGATTCAATTTTATTTATTTGTATAGATTATTGAGCAGTGCACTATTTTAACTTATAATACCGGTGAAAACTACTAAACAATCGCTTTTAGTTTGTTTTTAGGTTACTGTGATATTCATATTTTAATTGTTAATTTCTCAGTATTCCCGTTAGATACGGTAAAATTAATATTACTATTGTATTAGGAGGTTAGAGGTTAGGTTATAAGTTGTGCAATAATTTTTAATATGTAGTACATATTGAAAATTATGGTATTGGTTCAAATTATTTTGAAGATTGTTACATACCTATAATTCGGGTCAAAGCGCTAATAGCAAGTAAGCTTTGATAGAGAACGACTAGATTTTTTTAAAGACTTACGCCTATGTTAGATGTCAAAAGAGCGGCCTTAATTGCAGCACACCCATACGCGAATTCTTCTACAATTAGGCACGATTCAAATACACCTAGAGCGGAACCTCCTGCAATTATAACTCATTATACAGTATCCTGAGGAATACACCTAACACCAAGAAAACTCTTATTTCCACAGGAAAGTTCAAATTGACTACCTTATTACATGCTTTTATTACTGTGTGATTAAACATATAGATAAAACAAGAAACAGCTATGTATGGTAATAGCATCTCACCTATAAAAAAAAAAATTAAAAATATTCTGAACCTTGTTACTATCTCAATAATAAACAAAATCATGGTATATTTAATTTTGAAATTATCTTAGCCTTTTGTTTATCTTGTTTATTAATGAAATTGATTATAAGTTAAAATAAGTAGTTAAAATAAAACTGGAAGAATATCGACTAATAAAATACAACAGGAAGTATGTGTCTATTAAATAGACATGAAACTCGTAAACAGTTTTTGGTGTTTGTTTGTGCACGCTAATCCCTACAACGCCCAAACCAATTTATATGTGATTTTCAGATTAAATAAGCTTCTGCTAAATTTAGTGTTTGCTTTATTTAAATAGACAAAAATATATTATAATTTTCTATATCAATACAAAAGTCTCGTGAAAAACCAAAAACGATTATTTTAAATAATAAGATGTACTGTGTATATATGTTATATACTTATCTTTATTAAAAATATATTCAAATTATAAAAAGATTATACTTACCGACACATATCATCTCGTGGGTGTCGTAAGATGTGACAGACGGAAACAAATCAGGACGTGGGCAGCAGTGTCTTCCTAATAACGACTAAAAATAAAAACTACGGTTGCCAAACCGCTTGCCAAGCGTGGCAACTATGGCTAATATCCTCTCTATGAGGCAATCTATGGGGGAGGCCTGTGTTTAGCAGTGGACTTTAATAGGCTGTAGAGAAACGAAACGGAATACAAAAAGATGATAGGCAGTTCTCATTGACAGTCATTCAGTTTTTCAAGTGATTTTTATTTGTAACCAATAATATCGTTTTCTTGGTTGATGTTGCTTATGTTCAACAGCAGATTTAAAAAAAGTTTCCAGTCGGCTTATGTTACGCTTTAACTATGAACACGTCCTAAACTTTATATCTTTCGGCAAATGCAAACCCTTTTCATCCGTCAACGCAATTTTTATGAAAGTCAGCCTATGTTTTTAGCTGAACCTACACATAACATAATATGTATACTAGCTGATGCTCGCGACTTTGCACGCGTGTTATTTGGGGATTTAGTTTTTTTGCGCGGAACCCTAATTCTTTTTTAAAAATATAAGTATAAGTTACTCCTTATGACATCAGCTATCTGCCAGTGAAAGTCCCGTCAAAATCGGTCCAGCCGGAACAAACAGACCGATAGACAGACAGACTGACAGACAGACAAAAATTTTAAAAATTGTGTTTTTGTTATAAGTATCGTATGTACTTTCATATGCATTTAGTAAAAAGCCGCACATTTTGACATTACAAGCAGACACTTCAATTTTATTTATTTGTATAGATTAATAAGTAATATATAAACCTTAACGTAAAAAAAGTTCGTTTTTTAAATTATAAAATTTTTCACTTTCACTTCAAAGCACAGTCACCCTCTCATTACTGAAAGATTATGAAGCAATGTGTCCGCCGCGCCGCGTTGCTCCAGTGCGTATGTACGTTATTATACGATTATTAATAAAGTTTTATAATTAATAGCCTAATACATTACAGAATTTCATTTGCATATAAATTGTAGGATACGCAGATGATACATTTTTGCGTTTATGAAATCACGGCAACAGCCCGTTAAGGTAAAAATGTTCATGAATTGGTATTTTTTTATAAATCTTCTGGAATTTTAGAAAACATATACTCATATGAAAAGAAAGAATAAAGTTAACATTATTCTCAGCTCGAATAAACGCTCGTAAGATTGCTTTCATGGAAATAGCACTAGCTCTTAATTTATAATGAAAGACAAAACACTATTCCAGTCAACTTGAAACAGCTAATGGTCGCTTAGCACAATATAAAAAAAATCGAAAGTTGGCATTCCCCAAAATCCATAAATTCGAATCAAAGCAACTTTTTTCTCTAATTATTGTCACTTTAATTCTACTCGCAACTTAATCGTAATTACGTGTGTATCTTTAACAAAGTTGTTAAAAGCCTTCCCTCATTTCTGAGAGGGTTTTAGTATAAAGAAATAACCGCCGCACTGCCTTCACAGGCGAACTTCACATGTCTTAAAAAATTATTTTCTTATTTCTCAGACATGCAGGTTTCCTCACCATTTTTTCCTTCACCGCCAATCACGTGGTAAGTCAACACTTAAAATTGTAATCAACACTTTCATTAGTGCCGGCGGGGATAGAAACCGGGTTGCTCGTGTACTGTGAGCGCTAACCATCTGGAGCTATAACATCTGTCTCAAAAATTGTTTTTGCAAAAGTATAGTAAGAATCTATAGCAAAATACAGTGGTATTTGAGTACCATTGATAGTACATTTAGCTCTAATATAATTTTAATTTGCGTGTATGAAAACTGAAATAAACCTGACTACGGTATTGAATTATAACAAATGTTACAAAATATACTTTTCATTTTATTTCATGATATTTTATTGGGTATATGTTGTTGAAGTGTATTCTAGTCTACACTAAGATCAAATACACAATGAAAAATAATAATAATGTCCTACAGACCGAATTTCTGTCTACAGAGACTAGCTATCCGCGCAGGACAGCATTATAGTGCACGAGTGTATTTGCAATCTTTATTCCCTCACTCTCAGTCCGATTTGACTATGGTAACTTGATACGACTGAAGAGATGTCACGCTCAGGACCAACGGCTTTACGTACTTTCCGAGACACGCGGGTGAAACACCGCCGACTGACTCCCCCTGCTACTGATAACTTCTTGACAGAAAAACTCAATAACTAGTTTTGGCCCCACCCGGGATTCGAACTCGGGACCTAGTGATCAGTAATCGCGTTTAAGATCACTAGACAAACGAGGCAGTCAATGAAAAATAAAAGCATAGCGTAGCAACAGCTTGCAAACATCTTCAAATTATCTGAGCACATATTTGCTGATGATGCAGTGCTTATTGCACCATCAGAGGCAGAACTGCAGGCATTAGTCACGTGTATGAAAGAGGAATGTGAAATTAAAGGTCTCCGTTTGAATGCTAATAAAACTAAGGTTCTGGTATTTGAAAGGGACGAAGAGAGAACGAAGTGTGAAATATGGGTAAATCAGGAATGTCTAGAACAGGTAAATGAAATTATATACTTGGGGAGTGCTTTTAGCCAGGATGGAAGATGTGATTTAGATGTGGACAGGCGTGTCGCTGCCGGGAACAAAGTCAATGGTGCCCTGACTGCGTTAGTCAAAAGGCAAGGCGTAGTGAAGAGTGCACGCCTTGCAATACATAACGCAGTGTTGGTACCGACTTTGTTATATGGCAGCGAAACCTGGGTATGCCAGAAGAAGCATAAAAGCAAGTTGAATGCAGTGGAGATGCGATCTATTCGTAAAATGTGCGGCGTTACCATGGCCGACCGAAAGCGAAACGAAGAGATTCGCAATATGGCAGGTTTGAAAGATGACCTTATCACAAAAATTGATAAGGGTGTGCTTCGGTGGTTTGGGTACGTTGAGCGAATGAGTGAAGACCGAATGGTGAAGAAAATATATAGCGCAAAAGTTAATATTAAGAGGTGTCGAGGTAGGCCGAGACTAACTTTCGAAGACCATGTGAGCAAATTGCTTGAAGAGGGTAGGGTCAAGAGTACTCGGAAACCTAGATGTGCATGTATGAAGAAGATAATGAATCTGAAAGAAGCGAAAAAGATATGTAAGGATCGTGACACTTGGCGATCTGTTCTCTCTGGCTACCCCGTCAGGGATTTTGCGTGAAGATAAGTAAGTAAGTACATATTTATACGATTGCAAACTGCAATGATAGTTTGATGTTATCAAACATAAATTTTGTCGCTATTAAACTACTTTAATTGATAACTTTAGGTTATCGACACACATATTTAAGCCAAACGGTTTGCTTCGACAGTCCTAATGAATACAGCAAAGGAAATTTACCAGTATCTGTATTTCCATCCGATTACAATGCGAATGTCTTTAAGACAACAGTGAATAGGCTTTTGTTAAGTTACGTCAGTGTGCCTAACCATCTTCGGTTGCATCGCCACTTACCATCAAGTGAGATAGTACACAAGCAATAGCTTGTAATAGATAAAAAAGCCTATGTATAGAACAGAACCAGAGTAACCGACATAGTCGAACATATCAGTAAGTGACAATGGGCCGGCCATATAGCTCAAAGAACCAACTACCGATACAGAAGAAAGGTTCTATTGTGGCAGCCCCGTACCAGTAAGCGGAGTGTGGGACGGCACTAAATAGAGTCACGACCTGAAAATTCAGGAAGTCCAGGTCGTCACTACACTACATCTAGTGGAAATCAGATAATAATAAGATTTTTTGTTTTAAAGTTTCTGGCTTTGTAAACTTATATCATTACCACAATGCTCAGGGATATGTCCATTCATTAGCCCCAACTCCCAGGCCTTCTTAACAATCGGCCAAGGATACTCGCCGGTCTTGTCATATTGCGCCGCCACAGGGATTATTTCTTCCTTTGTAAATTTTCGGGCGAGCTCCTGCAGCGCCCTTTGCTCGTCGTTTAGTTCTGAAGAGAAAATATACTTTTAATTTTAAATACTATAAAACAAATTTAAAATAAAACACTTGAATGTAGATAAATAATATTACCTATAAATAGAATTAGGTAGAATTGCGAAGTCTTTTACTGCTCTCAAAAAATTACGTAACGTGATGTAACTTAAGGCTAGATAACTTGTATCTTAAGTATGGATGCCCATTTCGGCTATGTCGTCGTATCACTACCTGTATCGAGTAAAAAATGCCGATTCGACATGGTTAAGTGTGCACACTTAACCATATCGAATCGGCATGATATTCTTTATACTATGAATTTCGCGGTCCGATCCTCGTATCTTTACCACAATCAAACTTTTCCAGACCGTGTAATTGCATGTAGTATCCCCTTTAAAAAAAAACAACAAGACATGGGACGCGGCGTTTAACTTGTTTCAATTCCAAGTACAAAGAAACATGTCTTAGTTGACAGTCATGTCAATTGAAATATTGACATAAGTAATTTACTAATGACGGTATCAATTATCTAATGACAAGTGATAATAATCATTATCACAAGCCATTATCTACATTAAGCCCTAAAAACGTTAGCTCGACCTACATAGCTAGGATATAAATCAATGATTTTTTTTAAATAGCGCCTATCTATCACAAGGGCAAAAACTTCAATAAAATGTAACCTCATAAACGTCCCACTGCCGAGCACAGGCAGTGCGAGCACTAGCATATTTCTGAGTGTTTTTTTTTTTGGAACTGGGGAAAATCCATCGCGCCCTCCTCTGCATGTTGACGATCTCATTTATTTACTAATAAATTTTAAAAAGGAGGTTTGCTCATGTTTTCTTTTACCACTGAGTACTGCTATGCCATGTGCATGGATTGAATTTTTTTTGCGTACTATGCAGCCATTTATTTCCTGAGCTACTGCAGCACTCATTCCATTATTAATCCATAACTTAAATAATATCCCTATGCTCTCAATTATTGGTAACCTGTAATTATTCTCCTGATTTCAAGACTTACACTTTTACTAACGATAACACTAACTTAAATTTTAATATAAAATTTAAAAAAACATACCAAAACAAAATCCAGTAGTTGGGATTGGTTTTGCTGATGCAACAGGAGCTGATGTGGACAGCTTCCTATATATGGGACGAGTAGCACGAACAAACTGAAAATGATTGAGACAATCATACTGGCTGCACTTACATTTAATATTTAAAAGGTCGGGTTGACACTTCCTTTTATTTCAAATATAATCTATTTCATTCATCATACAATTATCAAAATAAATAAATTAATATTAAATCATCTTTCTATATAAAAATTACATGTCACATTGTTTGTCTGCGATGAACTCCTAAACTATTGAACTGATTTCAATGGAATTTTGCACTGTGTGCAGTTTGTTCCAACTTGAGAGATAGGATACTTTTTATCCCAATAAGTGACCTTCAATATTTGTTATTGCGAATTTAAGGATGTTTTCATAGGAAGGGTCGTCGGAAAGAGCAGAATAACGTCTGCCTGGTCAGCTAGTTATATTATACAATAATAAAACATTCATCCTTTTAATTTTATTTCATTATTTTACACTAAAATGTTTTCTACATGCTGTAGCTCGTATACTCATTTTGTCATTAGTCCTCACATTCTGCATTTTAATTCTAGATCGAGGATAGATGTAGATGTATATGAGCCACACCATTAACTTTACCATCACGTGGATTGTGCTTGTTTATCAGCCTTACTTCCAGATGGACTTAGGCCGCCCTAACACAAAAAGGAGCCCTAACACCATGACACTTTTATAATGAATACAACAGAATAAAATCATTTTTATTATAACATTGAATGCAACTAATAGTCATTGATAGTCATTTATGCTTTTACCTAGTGAACCAGCAACATAAGATAACAAAATATGTCTTTTAAATTTTATAACTGCAATCAAGAGTGACAAATCTACTTTAGAATTCCTTGATTATTTATGAAAACTTTGTTTGTGAACAAAACAAATATGTGTGACATAAAGATGCAATACAAATTATTGAAATAACATCATTTAGCATCCAAAATTACAGGATAAGAAATTCGTTTGATTGAGGAGAACACAGTGAAGAAGTTCTCAGTTGGTCTTAAGCGGCATTATGTTACATCCCTACAGTGTAGTGGTGGTACAAGTGAACTGATGGATATAGGATGCTGCAGAGAAAATATTCACTTTTTGTTACTGTTGCAGTAACTGCCATGAACTAGTGTTGATTTGTGAATACAATTAGTTCATATTGCAAGGAAAAAAATCAACTTTCAAGATAATTTTATAAGCAATCATGTGTTTTCCAGAAGAATTCCCTTTGGCAAATTAAGTTTGTTTCAGATTTTAATGATCATTTCCATGGAGTATATTAAATTTATGTACTCCCATTCATCACTATGTGCCATGTTGCAAAGTTCATATTAACCTTTCGTGGACATTTTCGCAACTTTTCAGATTACCACTGTTTGGTATATATTATTCTAAAAATCTAAAAAGGATTGCTATTGCTATTGTCTCATGATTTTAATTGATTATACATGAACTGGGATCACAAACAGGGACAGTTTAAGTCGGCAGCCATAACCCGTTCCATTAAGAAACAAAACACCAGAACAGAACAAAATAAGTATCTGAGATTTGTTTAATGTAGATCTTTGATTTAGAGTTACATATTTTACATTTCCATTTCTTTCAAGAGTATGTATATATACTAATCGATATAACTTTTTTGAGAGTCCAATGCAGTCAAAATCATATGATATATATATATCTACCTTATACCTTTAACCTTTACCTATACCTTTAACAAGATTTTGTACTTTATGGTGATTGTAATAATTTTTTGGGATTTTTGAACTGATTGCTTTCTCAGACATCATAAATAATTTATAAAAATATATCAAATGAGATTAATCAATGAGCTGACTGGAACCACCAAACTTGTGATTGTAATGTAAAGTTAGTTACACTGCGATACAAACACTACTAGGGAAGAAAGTAGGGACAAATGTTAAAGATTTTTTGAACTTGCCTAGTAGTGTATTTGTGTAGATTTATAAAAACACTGGGGTAAAAATCTACAAGTAGTACAAGTAGCAACAAATCTATGTGGAATTCAAGTTTGCCAATTTAGTTTTATAACAATTTTTAAGACTGTAATTATGAAAGGTACACAATCAGCAATTGAATATTAAATGTATCATTGAACTTTAATACAATTAAATGCTTGTATTGGTCTTACAAATTGTTGTAGCATCATTTTTGGGTTTTATTTTAATGGATATTTGTTAACAAAAGAAACTATTAATGGCTTAAATAATTAGTAGAATTTGACTAATGTATCATAATGACATAAAACATTAATAGATTGTTTTTAAATTGTAAAAAATTCATATTCGTGGAGCTTCAATTTGAAATCCCAAATCTAAAAAGAATTTAATATCATGTAGTACTTAAAATTAATATAAATAATTTAAAAATTTGTACCCTGACTTCAATATAAATTATTAAGAATAACTCCAAAACTATTGCTCAGACCTTGATCAAATTTATATGGGACTATATGTGAAGCACCAGTTTTCAAATAAGAAAAGAATCATCGAAATCGGTTCACCCAGTAAAAAGTTATGAGGTAACACACTTAAAAAAACATAACAGTTGAATTAGGTACCATCTCCTTTAAAATGTCTGTAAAAAATTAGTATCTTAAAAACTTAAGTGATTATGCAAAATAAAATTTTAGGTTTAAAAGTTAATGAGATCTTATTTTTGTTAGTCTAATACTAACACTAACAAAATAAGATCTCATAAAAGTTTAAACCTACAAATAAATTGTGGGTCTTGTACTGTTGTGGTTGAACCGCATTCTTATTGGTGGACTTTGAAACTCATTGTCGATCTATATGACATTACGTATGTATTTTTAATGAATAATTCCTAATTCTGCATAACTTAAATGCAAGATCAAATAAAATAAAAATAGGGCGTCTTGCAAATATATTTATTAAATAAAGTCTAGGTAGGAGTAAGGAGTAAATCTTAAGTTTTTCAAGGTATTAGAAATATAAACTGGTATTTTGAAAATAATATATTACACATAATAATAAATTTAGGGATGACTTACACGAAGATACTTACCACAGTTAAAGGGTTCATTTTCTTATTCAGTAAGGATTCTCTTTTAAATATTTGCTATGCTCAACTCAAAGTGACACGGACTTTGCACCTTTCATAGATAAACACCTTTTCAATTTTCAACGTTCAACTACATAGAGCATATCATAGACTTACACCCGTATTTATATAGAAGTAATTACTTGTTATCAAGTCATTTCTTAATTAAGTCATTACTAAGGCTTAGTGTTTCTATATAGTTTGTGCTAAGGCTCTGTCCGCACTGCTATATTTCACCGCGTGATTTTTTTTCTCGAATTTCTGTTAGGGTGCGTACAGATCAAGTAACATGTTGTATAACTTTTGTTTTACAAGACGTCCACATTATGTAACATTGTTTTTCAACATTGCAACATATAACAATACTGTACACATTATGGCTCCAGTACCCAGTACACGTTGGCCGAGTGCGCTCGGCCAACGTGTACTGGGCCGTTTTGTATATATTTGGCGTTTGCGGCCAACGCTCGCCGACGAGCCGTATAGTGTCGGTTTTCCGTGCACAATTCAAAGGAATTTGGCGCAAGCCGCAAACAGTGTTCACACGTTGGCCGAGTGTTCAGTTCATAATTACGCGTCGGAGTAGACTGTAGTGTCGGCTTAATAAAATTGTTTCAACATGGCGACATGGACTAATGAGGAAATATTTATTTCTTTATTTAACAGTTTATACACACATACTTCGATAGGAAAATGGTAAAAACATTATATATATATCTATCAATCAATGAACAATGAATCAATATTTCACTCCATAATTATTAAATCGTAATGTGTTGGTATGCATATAAGTAACATTAAAAATATATTATATTGAATTATATATTTTTTCATAATATATAATTACATATATATTATGAAAAAATATACATGCGTATGCATAATTTATAATATACATGCGTATATATGTGTATATATATATATATACATATATATATATATATATATATATATATACATATATACGCATGTATATATATATAAATAAATATTATATATTATGAAAAAATATATAATTCAATATAATATATTTTTAATGTTACTTATATGCATACCAACACATTACGATTTAATAGTTATGGAGTGAAATATTGATTCATTGTTCATTGATTGATTCTCACAATGAATCAGTTATATGGAACCCCAAACATGAGCAACATAAAAATAAAACCAAAGTAACTTGCCTAACTGCATTAAATAATACATGTTTAGTTGCGATTTCAGAGTACCTACCTAATCTATACAAATAAATAAAATTGAAGTGTCTGTTTGTAATGTCAAAATTACAGTTTTTTTACTAAATGCATATGAAAGTAAATACGGTCCTATAACTAAAATACAATTTTTAAAATTTTTGTCTGTCTGTCTGTCTATCTGTCTGTTTGTCTGTTTGTTCCGGGTAATCTCCGAAACGGCTGGACCGATTTTGACGGGACTTTCACTGGCAGATAGCTGATTTCATAAGGAGTAACTTAGGCTACTTTCATTTTAGAAAAAGAATTAGGGTTACGCGCGAAAACATAGAAACCCTAACACGCGAACGAAGTCGCGGGGAACAGCTAGTGATAAATATTATTATAAATTATCTCTGCGTTTATGTTACTCAGGGATAATGTAGCTTAGGGGCTTCTTTTGGGCTATTATTTATTTTGAAAAAACCCCCAGCGAAGCGGGCACGGATCAGCTAGTAGATCCTATAAAGGTTTCTTTTTCCTTTTGAGGTCGGAACCCTAAAAAGGACAAACTGGGATTATTGTTATATGTGTAGTTTTTTTTTCGTTCACTCTGAGAAGAGTGAAGCGCTGTATAAGTATATGACAGCGGCCGCGATTGCCCTAACGTCCATCATCATCTAGCTACCTACGCAGAATGAAACACGCCAACGTGTGAACGGCACCACGAAAATCTGCCGAGTGCGCTCGCCAAGCGCGCTTGGCCAACGTGTACTGGAGCCATTAGAATAACAATGCAATATAACAATGTTATATGACATTGTCGTTTGTCGTTCTGCCGTTCGAGTTATATAACATTTTTTTTCACGTTTTATAATATGTTAGGTTATATAATGCGTACACAGAATCATGTAGGAATAGCCGCACTAGCGGTAAAACAATCGCGCGGGAAAAATCTGTGATTTGATGCAAATTGAACGCGAAGCGGTGCGATTTATTTCCGCGCGAATATTTTGTGCAGTATAAAGTAAGTATCGCTATGTCCGCACTGAGTAGTAAAATTCGCGCGTTTCGCGTCTCTCTCTAGCTATAATTATTTTTGTCCAATTCGTATCTTGATAGGTAGCCCAACCAACAAATAGTAAATTATCGAATGATTTTATAGTTTCTGTAATATCCGAAAAACTTTCACCGTATTTTCGCAGCTTTTGATATTTTATGTAGAAAAACACTTTCATAGGTTTCAAGGCCCTAAATAAGTGAATCCAATGTTCATGACATCTTTTTTTACACTACTTTCGCCAAACTGCAGGGCAGTTTGTTGGTGAATACATCACCCACTTACATTCTATCTACTTACTGTAATTAATAACTTAATCTTAACTTACAACTTAAGATAGAAGAAAAAAATAACAATAAAAAAATAATGATTTCTTATATTTACGCGAACACTACACATTTTTAAATAAAACTAATTTTACGGATTTTATCGCGTATATTAACTTATTTTTCCCCCGTGACCACGGGTGCTGGAAAGCACCCGAAACGTCGGGAATATAAAAATAAGTTAAAAATAAGTTAATATACGCGATAAAATCCGTAAAATTAGTTTTATTTAAAAATAAAAAAATAGAAAAATTAAATTTAAACTTAGCAGTACTATCTATATACTTAATTATATTTAATTTTACACATATTTAAACTTATTAATAATTTCACATTTAACTATTAATTAAGACTATATTCGTAAATGAAGATAGATGTAGATGTCTATGGGCCACAACAACCACTTACCATCAGGTGGACTGTGTGCTTCTTTGTCACCCTTATACTATAAAAAAAAAAGATAAGAAGCGGCATCTTCCTGATAACAACTCAAAATAATTAAAAAACTGCTGTTGTCGACCTGCTAGTATTAACACGTATCTAGCAACCACGCTTTCAACTTCCTTTTAAATTTTTCTTTATTTTTACATTCGCCTTCAAAAAATATCTCGTTAAAAATACGTGGTACTAGATATTTTCTCGTCCTCTTGTCGTAATAATTGTTAACCCTCAAATGCTCAACGTATTTCTTTCGAGAAATAATTCTAATATTTTTGTTAAATGTCCGAACTGTTTTAAACTTTAGAGTTTTAAATTGATCTATTGCAATTAAGTACTTAAGTTTTACATGTATAGGTAATATTCTAAAATTTTAATTAAATTATTATAGTTTCCGTCAATGTTATATTTTGCTTTTCTTTTTTTTTTATCAATAAATTATTTTATTAACCTAACTTGTACCTTAAGAATTTTATCTGTATATGTTTCAAAAGTACATCTTGTATAAGTGACCCTCAATATTTTTTATTAATAATTTTTATAGAACACAGGGTCGTCGGAGAGGGTAGAGCAACGTCTGCTTGGCCGGCTAGTCTTTATATATAAAAACAAGCTCCATCGCGGACAAACAACGTGACACGTACTTTTTATATACAATTACGTGTCACATTGTTTGTCTGCGATGTACTCCCAAGCTACTGAACTGATTTCAATGAAATTTGTACACTGTGTGCAGTTTGGTCCAACTTGAGAGATAGGATACTTTTTATCCCGATAAGTGATATTCAATATTTTTTTATTGCGAATTTAAGAATTTTTTATAAGAAGGGTCTTCGGAAAGGGCAGAACAACGTCTGCCCGGCCAGCTAGTATATTATATATTGCATTAATTGGGTGTTTCTATATAGTTTGTGCTATTTATAGACCTGTAGACCAAAGCCAAAGAATAACATTTTTCTGGTTATTGGTTTAAGTTAAATATTATTACGTTACATTTACTGTGCGCACGGAAGTATAGACAAAGAAGTATATGTATTTTCATGACTGTGAGCTGTGAGCTATGTTCTATTAGAGCTGCCAACAATCAATCTAATTCGCCACCAGATTCAACCTACATATCTATTTATCTATGGATTCAACTTATGAAACCACCAGAAAATCATTAGCAAAAAGCGACCATTCTCACATCTATAAACTTTCCACTGAACACATTTTGGTATATTACGAATGAAAACAATAGGTATATACGTATATAAGTAATTTGGTTACCTATATTATTACATATAGTGTAACAAAATATTAAATTTCTGTGTTAATAACGAATCAATTAACACTAAATGAGTAAATACGTAAAATAGCCAATACCAAGAATATAAGGCGAGTCCGTTGTGCAGTAGCTTAGCAAGTACCAGCGTCGAGGACTGCGAATTCGAATTCTACACGAAACGAGTATATAAGTATGAAACTATTTTTAAGAATTTTGTCACATTCAATTTTTACTTATATTATTATATATTATCACCTCAGCCCCCCGTGACAATGAATATAATATAATATAAGAAATCATTAAGTATTTATATAACCGTGTAGTGGTATTGTAAGAATATCTCTTACTGCATATACTGTACTGTCGTAAGAGGCGACTAATACAATAAAATGTAAAATTTATTGTTTCTTTTTGTAATATTAGCAATATTTTATATTAATAACATTAAAAGTAAATAAACCAAACCACAGATATTCGTAAAAGTAGAAAAATTAAAAAAAGTTAAAAATATGTAAAAAATTAAAGAGCAAACCACTGACGCATTGTTTTGTGTATTAATATAATACTCTAAAACTTGATAAACTTTTATTAAAAACCAACTTCTCAATTAAATAACACTGATTTTGTGTAATAAAAAACTTTACCTCAGTGTCAACAAGCGACATTTGGCGAGCAGAAAATTACTAGCCCTCATTGTTTCAGGTCTGTATTTTTTTTATAGTTTAAGGTGATAAACGAGCACATTGTCCACCTAATGGTAAGTGTGCTGTTGCCCATAGACATCTACATCTATCCTCAGTAAAGAATCAATATGCAGATGCGTTGTCACCCGTGAGGACTAAGATGGGATGCCTCTTTTCCAGTAAAAAGGGTCTCCGGTTCTCTTGTCCTCCAGCGATTCTGCCATAAGGACTGTATCGACGGCAAATCGAGGGCGAGTGATGTACTTGCCATTGACGTTAATACCGAATTCTTTCCAGTCCATTAACTTCAAAACGTCTTCCAATGCAGCAGTGAAGAGTTTCGGGGATATTACGTCACCCTCTCTGCAGTTGGATAGGTCTCGTGCTCTGGTTCTGTACTCGGATAGCCATCGTAGCCCTACTGTACAAACACTTCAGCACTTCAATATACCGACACTCCACTTGGCACGTGCAGTCTTCGTTCTGAAGTAACAACAATCCAAATCACATAGAGAGTATCAAAGTCCAATAATTACGTATGATCACTGGTTACTGAGGTGTTTGCCGTCCCGATGTCATAGTTATCCTGGCGACCTTCAGTTTTTGAATATTAATTTTTGGTCCGATCTACGCAGAATGAGCCATCTTCTCCATTGAAATTAGGATGTTTTTTTAGTTTCAATAGCCTCGCGAATCATCCTTGGTAGGAAACAGTGTTCCTTTGCGAGGATTTGTGGTCTATTAAATCTAATATAATGGCGGGGACGATCTAGAAAATGTTTACACACTGCAGACTTACCGGAACGTCGGTGCTTCAAGTCAGCTATATGTTTTTTCACGCGGGTTTTAATAAATCATTTTTTTGTCCTATGTAAGAAGAACACATTCACAATCCAGCTTGTACCCCTATTACACCTATTTAATATATCTTTTAGAGAGATATGACACTTGACGGATGGTAAAAATTGACTATTCTTTTTCGGCGGCTTGAAGTATGTTTTAATGGAAGCTCGCTTCAAGATGTAACCAACCTTGTCTGTGACTCCTCTAACATAGGGTAGCAGGCACACGCTTGACTGTGGCCGTCTTCACTCGGTGAAGTCGGCCACAAGGCGAAGGCGTGGGACCCGAAGCTTGTTGTCTTGCAATACTTGCTCAACTTGCTGAAGCTCAGCGGCCAGATGTTTTCCGTCACAGATCCCCCACGCTCTCTGAGACAAAGATTTTCCCACGGTAGCTAAGTGTGATGGATAATGGTGCGATTCACCATTTAAATATCATGGTATGGGTCTTTTTCCTACACACAGTGTGACCAATAGTGTTCCAATATTATCAGTATTTCAGATGACTAAAACATCTAGGAGCGCTAAAGAATTGTTTGCCTCTAACACCATTGTGAATTGTATTTTAGAGTTTATGGAATTAAGGTGGTCTAAAAATGCAGTTACTTTGTCAGATGGTAAAATTGTGAAAATATCGTCTACCTAAGTTAAATTAAACGCGATAAAATCCGTAAAAATTTGTTTTATTTAATGTGTAGTTTTCGCGTAAATATAAGAAATCATTAGGATCCCTAATGATTTTTGTTTTTGAACTCAACACTGTTTAAAAGTTATTAATGAAAGACGATCGGATTCTCTGTACTTTTTTCTTGTTAAATTGTCGTCACCTTTTCTTTTCATGCGATCTAAGTAGTTTTTAAACAAATATTCAACCTTAGGTATGTAATAAAAGCTGATAAACGTTTTGTTTATTTTATTTAATCTCCTTGTGTCAACCCTACCAAAATAGAAAAAAAATTTGACAGTTCCTTAGAAGCTTAGCATCTGTAGGTACGGTTTCTTTAGTCATGTGCTGTTAGTGCAAACGGTGAAACAAGTGCTCTGATTGTGATGTGACTTTCAAGATAAGGCGTCTCTCTGCTTAGGTCTATCGCCTCGGTCGCCATCTGCTAGCTGTCTGTTGGCTCAAGTTGCCGTCAAATACTCCCAAGAGCTGCACAATGTGACGCATCAACATATTCTGAAGCAGTGTCCTATACAAGATAATTATAAATTGTAACTTCAGGCTAAGAAGGGTTAGAACGCAGAGCCGTAAAGCCAGTTATAAAAAAATCATATTCGTCTGTGGTGATTATATTGGATTATATACTCCTTGCTACATATTTATTTATCTATGATATACCCTTCACAAATTATAAAGTTGTATGTACCCTTTCTCAATGGAACGATCAAGAAAGAAACGACTGTTTCTGTCGGTGTCGTGTCGTATTTTTTGTGGGTCATGTTTTATTTAAAAGAAACAATTTCACGTGGAATTTATTTAGAAACTATAATCTTTTCCCAAATGTGTTCTTTAGTCTTTCATGTTATTTGCTGTTAGTATCCCTGTACTTGGTGTGTCAAATTGTATTATGGTCTGTGGTTTGGTGTGGTCATATTGTTATAGCGTCCTAAGATATTTGCAATTAACATCGAATATACGTATTTAATAAAAAGAGTATAAGTAATCCTTAATTTAATGCAGAATCGGAGATGTAGTTTATTTTGTCAGTGATTAAGAGGGTAAAGACGGTGTTCTTGTGCGTCAGTCAAAAGGATTGTGGGTCGAGTAGGTCTTCCGGAATGTGGCACAAGCAAGCTGTGTTATGAATGAGGAGGCACTGTTGGCGCGGGCTTCCGAGGAGCGGGAGCGTATCTTTCAGAGATATGAGCGGGGTCGAGAAAATCTTGTCGGCCAAATAGACCCTTGGGAAGATCCAGAATTTGAAGAGTATCACAAAACTGACAGGTATCTTCGTTATCAGTAATAGTTTTGATCTCAAATAGTTCTATGTTAATTTAAAGCACGCATAGACGCTTGATAGATTTTTACTTAATACATGTTAAGTTAAAGCTGGCTGTGGACTTTTAATATGTTTTGTTTATTAAACTTACAAAAGCAAGGCGAAATTTATTGTATTGATACTATTTAAACTAAATAGTATGTTGAAACATGCAATGCTACTGTTAGTGATGTTTTTCATCCAAATTTAAAATAACTAGTGAAAGTCTATCTCTCTAATTTGTAAGCAAAAAGTGTCAGTTGGTTTGTAAAATCAACAAACTTTCTATTTACTATTTATAGTAATGGTAACAAGAAAAATACACATATGCTTGATGTATACATATGTATCTAATTAATTTGATAAAACTTTCTTTTGCATTTTTCTTTCAATGTGCGAATTCTAATATTTTGAGCTTGGCAATTGATTATACGATTATGCTAGTTGTCAACTTGCAGTTGATGTTTATATTATTTAAATTAAAGATTGTTTCACTGACTTCAAAAAACAGGGTTCCCAATTTGGTAATAACCAATTTTATTGCTTTTTTATCAAATCAGTCAAATTTTGTCTAGTTATATATTATAATTATTTCAAATATACAAGTTATGTTTTTGTCATAAAAATGAGTCTCATGCCTATTTTGTCAAGCACAGCTTCACCTCACTTGTGTTTTCTACTAACTTATCTATTGTGTTATAGGAGGGATGCCTCTATTTTTTATTTTAATAGATACTATTATGTAAAATAAATTCAGTGCCTATAGTTCAGTACTCAGTATGGGTGCCCTCTGATTTTGTATGTTAACCTATTGATAAACAATACAATGTTTTATTTTCATTTTCACATTAATTTAAAATTATTATTCACTTCAATCTTCACAGTAGCTCTTTAGTAGCTTGTATAATATTATTTTCCATATGGTTATTATTATTTGTCTGTAGGTGGTTTTTTCTTTTTATGTTATTTCATACTATTTGCTTAGACTAGTTTAGCTTTCAGATAGCCATTTAATTTTTGATTATCATAATTTTTTACATGTAACATAACAGTAAAAGTATCACTTCTCATCACTCATAATTAGATTGTCTAACCAGCTTATAGATTTGCTATAAGAGAGCAACTTCATACAGGAGTCCATTGTAGTTTTTTTCCAACAATTTAATTTCCATATTTTTTCTAACAAAGTTAAATGTGGAGCCATAGTGGTGTGATCATCACCTAGCATTCTTATTCTTGGGTATTCAAGTATTAATTCTCTTCAACTAATTTAGACCATCTGTTGTTATCCATACAGTGGGATGACTGCATTGGCTGGTTTAGATTTATTACATTGACATGTTATTGTGCAAGATTAAAGACTTATGGACCAACCCGTTTTGCTAAAAATCATTGTGAGTCATAGTGTGGGTTGCTGCTGCCCATGATTTGCCAGAGCCAAAAGAGTTGACCCTCACACCTTCCCTCATTTTTGCAAATACCTAATAAAATATGAAATCGGCAAAAGTATTTTATAGTCTTTGTAGCTTAAAACTATGTAAAAATGTATAAAGAAATAAAATGTTTACTTATCTCTATAACTGGCAAGTGTGTGTGGGCAGATTATCTCAATTTTAAGTACTTTCAATGCTACAGTTTTCATTACAATGTAATCATAAGTAAGAATACATTTTCAGATTTTTTGAGATTTTTACTGACATTATTTAAAAGTTAAGCTTGGAGACTTTCCCAAAATGCCACCCCTAGAGTCAGCCGCCCCAGGGCAATGATTCTGGCTGGGCGCCAGGGTCATGGTCTTGGGTCCTTTTCTATGTCACTGTTCATACACTATACCTTACTGAGGTATTAGATATTTCCTTCAGTTTTTCTTTAAGACTGTAGTTTTGCAAAGTATTCTGCTGATAGAAAATGTTTCATATGATTTTATACTGTACAAAAGAATTTAATCCTGATACCTATATACCTAATACTTAATAATAACAGTAGTAGTTAGATTTAAATAAAAAACTGCTGTTAATAATTTAACCTCTTCTTGATTTAATGTTTTTATTTCATGACACTATCAAGTAGAGTTTTATAAATTATCTTTGGAGAAACAAGGTTCTGATGGTTTTTTCATTTAAGCAATTTACATTGCAATTTTTTTTTATGACATCATAAATGTATTACAAGCATTTCCTGCATTTTTTTGTAATTAAATATTTTTTTATAATATAATATGTTGAAGTATAATGTTTATTACACTGTTTTATTTATTAGAAAAAAAAAATGTAAAGTAAAATAGAATGTGGCTGCATTTAATTTTTAAACTTGTGTTTGTTTGCTGCTGTGCTTATTGTTATGCTAATTGGGCATCATATTTTGAAACTAGCATTTGCCTAAGCCTTTGCCTGCATGGGTGTCGGAAAATGACATCATTTTTAAAAATTACATTCAACTTGTTATCCCAAGACTTGAGACAGCATATTTAGGTAATTAAAAACATATGCTCCAGATTTATATCACAGGTAGTAGTATTTTCTGTGTCAAAGTAAAAATACAATAAATAAGGAAATGTTATGATATAATTACGACGCCGGCTCCGTGGCGCACTGGCTTAGCAATAAGTTGCAGCGCCAAGGACCGCGGGTTCAAATCCCGTACAGAACAAGTATTTGTATGGCCTATAAATAATTGTTTCGGGTCTGGATGTTTGTCCTTGTCAAATTTATGTATGTTAACTGCCCCCACGATACAAGAGAAAATCCTAGTGTTGAGGTAACATTTTCAAAAAAAAAATATTTGAAGGTAGCGATCTGAACAATTTCATCAAAATCGGTCCAGCTGCTTAGGAGGAGTTCAGTCACATACACACAGACAGAAGAATTATAATATAATATATAATATGCGTCTATTATACGTATAAACCTTTCTGTCTATTGAAAATCTGTATACAGAAGGTGGGAAGCGACTTCGCTTTATACTATGTAGTGATAATAAGTATTATCTTGGGCATATCCAACTAAATTATTCTTTATTATTAAAAGCAAAACAACTAGGTTATGCAAAAGTCATGAGAATCATACAATTATACTTCAACAAATAGGAAAACTGACTTTAAGTACTAAAAATATTGTAAAGATGATTAACAGTGGTAGAGCCAAGCGGTAGCTTTTGCTGTCGCACGGATGGGCCAGTTCAAACCGAGGTGGTACCACGACCTCACAGAATACCAGCGTGAAGTAGAGGTTTACCTCTGCGTTGCGCTTGGTGAGTGCAGGTGGCCGGAGGCCCAATACCTCCCCCCCCCCCCTCATCAACATGGTAGTGGAATTAAATAAAAGACTACCCCAGGAGGGTACCAGCACCCCTGGAGAATCCCTCGCTGAGCATCCACGACTAAACTACTTCACTCCTGAGCATGAGTGCTCAGGCTGCCCCGCGTATTCTGGGGGGGCAAAATTCCGCTCGCGACTAATACTGCTCGAGGCAAGTGGAGTAATACAACCAAGGCGACCCCTGTCATGCTATCCGTGAATTTTTGCAACATCAGGGGACTTCATTCCAACCTTACCGCTGTCCATTACCATCTAGACGGCGGCGAAGCCGGCCTTGCTCTTTTTGACCGAGACTCAGTTGTCCTCTCCGGCTGATACTTCATATCTCTCCTATCCGGGGTACAAATTGGAACACTCCTTTGTGCCCCGGGCTGGAGTTTGCGCATACGTCATACAGCGACGACCATCCGCGCGTCTACGGGTACCTCTATAGGTCCCATAGCGGTAATGCCGAAACAGACCTACTCATCGACCACGTCTAAATGGCTGCAGACTCCGTGCTACAACAGGTCCCATCCGCAGAGATTGTGATACTCGGTGATTTTAACTCCCACCACACTGAATGGCTTGGTTCTCGTTCAACCGATCATGCGGGTAGATCTGTCTATGACTTTGCTTTGGCATATGGTCTAACACAACTGGTTACTTCGCCTACGCGGATCCCAGATGTGGAAGACCATGTACCTTCCCTGTTGGACCTTCTGCTGACCTCTCATCCGGACGGATATCAGGTCTCCGTCGATGCCCCTCTGGGCTTTTCGGACCTTTGTCTGATCCGGAGTACGGTGCCACTCACGCTCCAATCGCAGTTGCGATCTGCAGCTTGCCGCCGTGTTAGGCACTATTGGTCAGCTGATTGGGACGGGATGCGGTTTGTTTTTGCATCCTACCCTTGGGGACAGGTTTGCTTCTCGCCGGAAGATCCCAGCGTTGTTGCCGATTCTGTTGCTGATGTGGTACTTCAGGGTATGGAACTTTTTATTCCATCCTCCGTGGTGCCCATAGGAGGCAGATCCCAGCCATGGTTTGGTCGCTCCTGTAAAATAGCATCACGCTATAAACAGGAGTGCTACCGGGCCTGGGCTGACACATCAACGTCTCGTGCTCAGCAGAGGGAGACAGTATTTCATGCCGGCACATCGCTTGCAACTTTACAAAGCGCAAGTTCGGCCCCACATGGAATACTGTTCTCATCTCTGGGCTGGGGGACCCCAGTGCCAGCTTCTGGTTCCTGCCAGTTCGAATCGTCGACCACCGAGTTCTTTCTGATCGGCTCGATACACTGGCACTGCGTAGAGATGTTGCATCTATCACAGGGAGTGCTCTGAGGAATTGTTCGGACTAATTCCAGCTGCTCAATTTTACCATCGCACATCGCGACAAAACTCGCGTTACCATCCATACCATCTGAATGATTGGCGGTCCAACACTGTGCGATTTAGAAGAAGTTTTCACCTTCGCACAACTTCCTTGTGGAATCAATTACTACCAGCGAATTTTCCGGACCGATACGACTTAGGAATCTTCAAGAAAAGGGCTTACACCTTTTTAAAAGGCCGGCAATGCATCTGCAATTCCCCTGGTGTTGTGGTTGTTCATGGGCGGCGGTAGTCACTTACCATCAGGTGAGACGCATGCTCATTTGCCCCTCTTCTATAAAAAAAAAATAAATAAAAATAAAACCACCAACAACCACTTTACTTTTATCACTTATTTTAGAAAAACTTTACCCCCACATTAAAATTTTCTCATGTATTGTGGAGGCAGTTTGCAAACAGAAATTGTACAAGGACAAACATTCAGACCCGGAACAATTCTTTGTGGGCCATGACATACTTGTTTCGTGCAGTATTCCAACCTGCAATCCCCAACACTACAACTCATTGCTAAGCCATGAAGCCATAACAATGACTTCTGAAGTTGGTGCAGTGCATTGAAGAAGAATTTAAAACCTTCTGTTGCTTGACCTCTTATTCTAATTATTTCAATTAATCATAGCTTTTGCGTACCACTTTAGACACATTGATTTTTAGACATTGTCTGCCCTTCGAATTACCTATTGTACCAAAAGTGGAGTCATTAACATCTAAGTTTTTTTTGTAATTTATATAAAAGGGGTTAAACAAGCATGCAGCTCACATGATGGTAAGTGACTTCTGACACCCATGAACAACTGCAACACCAGGGGAATTGCAGGTTTTTTTTAAACATTAAAATATGCTGTTACTCAACAAGGCGATGGTAAAATATAAAAGCTTACTTACTTACTTACTTAAATACTTAAAATATAAAAGCTGATTTGTTAAATTATGGTATTATCACATATTCTGTGATAGTGTGGGTATTAATAGATAAATAGATCGTCTTTACCATGATCATGAATGATAAATGAGTACACAATCCACCCGAAGGTAAGTGGATGCCTAGCCCATGGACGCACATCAATCATTGATTAATCATCATCAAATTTGAATGCCATGAAACATAGCATTATTATTCATTATCGTAAGTAGTAGGTACCATTGTTAGCAAAAATAAATCTTAATCATTTTCAGAATCCTCTGGATATTCACCAACTAGTTATAATTTCAATCCTTAAACTCATTTTCAAGGTCTGAGGTGACTCAATATCATACAATATGTCTTTAAAATGATCTTGGTGCTTTGATTTAATGTTGCAGCAAAATACACATAACCATTGCATTCTCTCTCACTGATTTTAAATTATCACATTTAAAAAAAACATTCCATTATCCTTCTCTTTTTTGCATGGTTTAAAAATGGGCGAATGTTCCCAAAATAATTGCTATTTTGTGAAAAACATCAGTACTAGTAGTTACATATTTTCTTCCTCCTTTTGCCAAGAGCAATGTACATTTTAAAGATATATTGTCTGTTTGTCACTGTTGATAAACTATCAATCACATTAATATTTTGAAATGTAATATTTTCTAAAACAATGCTAAGCATTACAATATTTCATTTTCAATATTCAATCGGTTGTACACTACAGAGAATGTTTTTTGATTAATGTACTGTTTTTATATATGTGGTAGAGCCACACTGTAGCTATATTATGGTTGTAGAATGAATGGGTCGGCTAGGCTGGGGAAGGACTACAGAAAATAAAATAGCAGCTTAATGCTGCTGTGTTTCATATGATGAGTGTAGAGAATCGGAGACTCTTTTTACTGGAAACAAGGCTTTCCATCTTAGTCCTCAGGGGTGACTATGCATCTGCATTTTGATTCCTTATTTATTAAGGATAAATGTAGATGTCTATGGACCACAGCATCCACTTATCTTCAGGTAGACTGTGTGCTCGTTTTTCACTCTTATTCATTAAAAAATAACGCTAATAGAAAGTATAGTTGCTTTTATATATAAGTAATTTTTAAATTAACTTGTACATTAACAAGTGACATAGCAGATCCAAGCATTTATTGGCTTTGCATACTTCTTTTTTGTACTTAACTTTATAACTCAAACTCTTTTAAATATATTTATTTACATTGTAAAATTTCTGCAAATCTAATAATTAAGTTTTTTACCAATAAAGTTATTGTTCCAGTATGTTACCATAATTTTTTTTCATGCAATAATATGTAATCCAAGATCTCATCTAATACTTATTCACATGTAGAGCAGTTTTCTGCTAGCTCTCTGTTAGCTCGTGTTTTCTTTAATATGTACAATATCCATTAGAAATGTTTAGGTATATTCCAGTAACTACGAGTTTATTATTTAAAAATTACATTGAAATGGTTATAGATTACACAATTATTTCAACTATACATTATATTTATTGCAGGTGTCCTGTATAATATACCCTTTGCACAACGCAGCTATATTGATTGTTTTATGTCTTGTAAAAAATTATGATGTCAGGTACATATCTTACCAAATTGTGACTCGATCTAGAAGTTGAAAAATCGTAAACTGTGCTTCCTGGTACGAAGCTGTCACTCTAAAACCTTTCTTCCCCATTGGTTTTTAGTTTATTGAGCTATAAGACCGGCACATTTCAACTTCAGCTTACTCATCCCTCGGGTCACTTCGGTTACTCTAGTTCTGCTGCAGATATCATCATTACAGATTCTATCACACGAACTAACACCAAGCATTGATCTCTTCATAGCTCACTGAGCGATCTTAAGCTTGGTCGAAGTTGAAATTACCTGTTTGGAATTTGTCATATGTAATCATCAACAACTGTGAGCCTCATATCAAATACTGCCATAGGTGTGTCATAGATCAAAGAGTATATTAATACGTTGTTTTAACATGGACATTACACATAATCATTGTTTAGTCCTTGTTCATTTATAGACTTATCCATTGGGAAACTGTTACTCTATTGAAATCATTGAATGTAGTGAGCAATTTCAATTACCACTGAGTTTCTCCATTATGATTATATAATCGGCAAATCGAAGGTGAGTGATGTAAATGATGTTTATACAGTGTCATCCAGCCCAGTAGTTTAAAAAAGTCTTCCAATGCAGTTTTATAGAGATTCGGAGATAAAGCATTGATATAACCATTTTGTACGTACCTCTATGTGTTCGACAGGTTTAGTGATTTGGTCTTTGGCTTGTTTTGAAGACTAGAATTCGTCAAATCTGCATGCGAGACAATTCGTAATGTAGACATGTGAATTGGAGCCGTGCGACCTCTCAAGCTGGCGCGCAAGGTGTTATCGTGTTGCGACCTTATTCAGTACGTTCCCCAAAAGTCTGGTGTTACTTTGAAGAAGAGGTAGAGAACTTCAGCTCTTTCCTTCAAAGATAAGGGGCAATTAAGACCGTCTTAGTGTAGACAACCATTTCCGTAGACTAGGCATTACCTATCAGGTATACATGAGGATTTCTTAACATATAAAGAGGTACCTTAATATTTATCTGAAAATTATAAGAGAGTTGTTTATTTTACTGAGATCACATTTCTTTTATATAAATAAAACCAAGTCTTATTTTTGACTCTTCCTCTAAAATGACTTCCTTTTCAAAAGGTGTCCATGTAAGGTTCTTTTAAGGTAGTTTTACTGAATGTCATTCAATTAATCGAGATTGTCCCCTGAACCCAAAATGTGTTTCCCAAGCGCTCCCTAAACTAAGATAAATCCGGGGAAATCCAGAAAGGTGGTAGCTCTAATCTCATCCAATGGCTAATTTATTTTTACACACTTGCACAAATATATCACCAAACAAAAAAGAGTTTTTGTATTTTATAAATTTTCTTCACTTTTTTTTTATTTTACCCTTTTTATTTTGAAATTGCAATATTTCATTTATTAAACAAATTTATTTCAGATATGGTTTCATACACGATGAGCGCTTGCCGCAGAAAACGGCATCGCAAAGAGTCACCACTGAGGTGGAAAGGGAAAAAAAATGGGTCAAAATGCTTGCGAATTGGGATTCTCCAACAACCAAGGAAAAATTGCATAGGCGAATATACAAAGGCATTCCATTATCTCTACGCATGAAAGTATGGTGTAAGCTGTTAGATATCAATAGAATTAAATCTGAAAAAGTTGGTAAATACCAAGAGATGCTTAAATTAGCCAAACAATGGTCGACCGATGTAAGACAAATTGATTCAGATGTTAATAGACAATTTCGTGAGCATCAATTCTATAGGGAGAGGTATTCTGAGAAGCAGTGTTCGTTGTTTAATGTTCTATGTGCATATAGTATGTACAATTCGGAAGTTGGGTATTGCCAAGGCATGTCTGGTTTGGCAGGAGTATTGTTAATGTATATGGATGAAGAGGATGCCTTTTGGGCACTTGCAGTACTCTTGTCTGACAAAAGGTACGCCATGCACGGACTGTATATTGAAGGCTTTCCAAAGCTAACGAGATTCCTAGAACATCATGATAAGATACTCACAAAGTTTATGCCGAAACTGAAACACCATTTTGACAAGTTCGGTTTAGATGCAATACTATATTCTCTTAAATGGTTTTTCGTATGTTTCGTGGAACGAGTGCCCTTTAGCCTGTGTTTGAGAGTATGGGATATATATTTGCTTGATGGTGAAAGAGTGATAACGGCAATGGCATATACAATATTAAAATTACACAAAAAGGCGATAATGAAGCTTAATGACATGGATTTGATTGTAAATTATATTCAAGTAAGTGTGCTTATTGATTGTGAGCAGCAGAAATAAACTGTATATAATAAAATGTAACAAATACATATTTATTGGCAGGTAAAGTTGCACAAAGATTTCGGCTACGAAGATGATATTGTGATTTACCATTTGGAGCGCTCCATGGAAGAGTTAAAACGAGCTAAACTCGATTACCCTGGGCAGCCACCTGCTAACGAGTTGCCAAAGCGACAACTTGGCATGTTTGTGGAGCCGGACAAGAAGTCAAAAATTGGTCAGCGCGCGGAAAATTTTTCCGATACGGAGAAGCAGGCCCGAGCAACGGTAATTTTAAGGTGCGGTGTGGTAGTGAAACAACTGTAATTGTTGTCCAGGACATTGTTTTCTAATGTTGTAATTTTTATTACAGACGTGAAAAAGCCGCACTGGAGTTGCAAGAGCTACGCGTTTCACAGAGCGATACAGTTTCAGGTAATTTGGAGGCGTCTCCGCCCACTTCGCGTACTACCTCCGACGAAAGTCTTGATTCAGACCAGTTCACACATCTATGAGACATCCTTTTACGATAACAAATTGCTAATAAATTGATGCTGGTAAAATGTTATTTTGAGACGAAGGCAATGTTGCAAGATCACTAATATTTTTCGAATCTGACGTGGCCTATATTTAACGATATCTCTAAACTGTGACGCTGTCCGTGAGATATCTATCCACTAGTTTACACGAGCGTCATATCCGTTGTGAGCTTATGGTATGTACGTTTTATGATAAATTATTCGCAGCATCTTAAATTATGTTGATTTTTTAAATTACTGATCTGAACTATTGTCTACATCACTTTAAGAGCGATTGGGTTATCGTGAGAAGGATTGTGATTGAATGAAGGTAGAAATATTGTGATAATGCTGTATGGTCTGTAGATTTTTTAAACTTTGCGTATTTCTACCTTTTTTATTTTTTGTGTGTTAATTATGTCCTCACCTTGCATGCATTAAGCGAGAGTTTCTTAAACCATTATGACCCACTGAACTTAACTTTTTAAGGTAATATGTTAACCAAAGTTATAACAAGTCTAACCAGGGGAAGCAAGCGAAAAGTTTAAGAAGCTTTGGTCTAAATAATTTATCGAACCAGTGCATTTGCCATTTGCCATTACCTATGAAATTAGTATATCTAGAAGTGATACTATGAATGTTTGAACATGTAATGTGAGAATGTTTATTTTATCGGGAATATACGCTTTTCGTCTCTCATTTCGCATTTAAATATCATTCAACGAATATTAGAAAATTGTCGATTTTGCATTGTATTTAGTTTAGATATTTAGTGATTGATGTACAAGTACAAATAGTTAACATTTCTATAGCATAACGTATTTATAATACACCACAAAAGTCCTTAAGTTAATTGGTGCGTTGTTTCGGCCATAAATTGTATTCTTATAACATTTGGTTTTTAATGAAATACTCATTGATATTTAAATCAATCTTCAATCGTCGTTCCGATTTACAGTTGTTACTTTCTCTTTTGTGTAATGTGTCTCCATAATATTGTTATTTCGGCATGAATAAACGAGACCAAAATGTTTCGTAACCTAATTGGACTGATTTGCTTTGCGTCACAAATTTAGCATATTATATGTGAAAAATATTGTAGGCGGGTAGCATAACGTTGTTATGTGATGCGGCGAGTTTTGTATGAAATGCCACATTTGAAAATAAATCAGATTTTATATTATGTTTATGTCGATTAAATTAAAAATCTATAGGAATTTTTTGACAACTGCTTTTGTTCATCAAAAGTTTGATTTTGGTCAATTTCTTTCCTGTTCTGTGTAATGTATATGCCATGTGAAGAAACGAGGTTACAAGCTTTTGTCTTTATATCGCAAGGTTACTTTTTGTCCAGGTGTTATTCTGTGTGGGTACTTCTACTTATTTCTTCGCTAAATGGCAGTGTAGTCTATATAGACTACACGCAAATCGACATTTTCATCGTAACCCTCAGCAACGAATGTTTAGTAAAGTCTTTTTGGCTTACTTAACATCATGCAAAAACCTCCACTATTTCCAGAAAAATATTTGAGTGAAATCAGTGTTCCGAAAGGTTTAAAAGTGTATTTTGGCCTGTGAATCAAACAAAAAAATGAGATATAATTCTTAATAACACTTTAAACTATAATCGCGTGCGTGTTTTAGTGTAAGCTGTCACCGTCTGCTCCATAAATAATTTTAATGTATTTGTTTTTAATTTCCTAATTTCTTATAAGACCTTCGGTACCTTTACTACTAAAGTTGGAACAGTTTTCTAATTATTTTCCTTTTGACAGCAGACTAACTGACTTCTAGTTATTTGATAATTTTTTGACAAAGATATAAGTAAACATAAATAGTTATTATTTCTAACATCATAAATCATTAACATATACATTTTTGTACAATTCAAAATACTTTTGCCTTTGATTTTTTTATTTTGTTATTCTTTAATTTTATTGCAATTATTAAATTTCCGATTCCGATAATTAATTTATTTTAGTGAAATTGTAAGAAGTTCAAGTTGAAAGACCTAAAAGCTTTTAATTTTTCTATGTATTGATATCAATGTTACATTATTCATGACACGTCAAGCATTAAAAATATTATGGACATAACTAATTATCTAAATATAATCTGTTGCTTACATGATTTAGCAAATCAAAAGTGTTATATCTATATGACATATAATTCTGAGACATGGTCCTTCACTGCTGGACTTATGGGGAAGATTACGGTTATTTAAGGTTGAGCTACCGCTATGAATGGCGGAGCTCGGAGTTTCTCTGCGCTACAGATTAAATAATGAGGATATCTGTAGTAGAACTAGAGTAACTGACATATTATCCCAATGGACCAGGAAGCTTAAGTGGCAATGTGGCGAACATTTAGCGCGAAAGACCGATTGGACCGTTGGTGAGCTTCAGCTGCAATCATGTCATAATATATTATATTTATTCTAAAATATTTAATTAGAAGACAAACGAAACGCTGACTGCACGAAAAACTTAAATTTGATCATAATTTGAAGTGTTATAAAGTGAAAACGATTCAAGTGCCCCAGATTTAACGAGTTCTACTATGATGTATTATATTCAATTTAATAGTAAATCATTAGTATTATCAAATTGGATTTTCTCGTGAGTTTTGTTTTGCCATTTCAGTATTAGATACTGTGAAAAATTGTTTTTCTCTCTTCATAACGATCGATTATTTGTCATGAACATCATGATGGCTATCATAGCTACTCCCAGCTTCATTGATCTCAGTCCTGCTCTTCTAAGTCACCACCCAATTAGACTTCTTTGGATTTGTTTCATTTTTTTTTGCTTGTACAGCAAGCCACTATTATTCTCTCATATACTTTGGACTTATATTCCTGAGCTGTTTTTTTAAGTCATTAAGAATGTCTATCAGGTGGTTTATAGAGTAGAAACGAGATCGAATACAGGTCCTTATTTTCAATTAATGTGAATGTTTGGTGTGGTTTTTTTCTTTGTAATTTTACCAACGTTGTATCAATTTTGGTGTAAAAAATTAGAAGATTTTGCGTAAGTAGTTGCTGGAGGTAACATAACTGACAATTTAATGAAAATCAAAATTTTCATTATTGTAAATTACGTTGTTATATATTGTTAACTTTAAAAGTAAAAAAAGCTTTTTGTGGTATTCTCATATTGTCCAAAATGTGTCTTTTTGGCTTTAAATTATTTGTATTTTAACCTACTTAACCTAATGCATAACATTAATTTATAACTTATTCCTCAACTTCTCGTTCATAACAAATTATATCTAGGATATAATTTATTAACGGGAAGTTGTACAAATGTTAGGATTGTATAGAGAATGTATATACGTTGTAAATGAGTGCTTACAACCACACTGGTCACTTATTAATGTCACCACCTGTATTGTGTGAAATTTGCTGTAGGATATAAAATATAGTTGACATCCGTGATTCAAACATAGAATTGATAGATATAAAAAAAAGGTTTTTTTTTGATTCTCGCTGTCGCTGCCCTGAATGTGGCACTGTTTAATTTGCTTGCCATTTTTTTATTTGATAGATTTTATATCATATTTTTATTGATATCCTGTGTTTTAAACTTAATAAAAATTTTTGTTTGAGCATGGTTTTCAGTGGTACGGCGGTGGGTTTATGTCATGATTAACACCACGGGCGATATCTGCATTTAACACGCCGACTCTTTTGATCGGAGGAGTGCTTTTTGGTCATCATAGTAACATACAAAATTTTCAAAATTAATATACATTTGTATAAAATCACTCCTTGGATCAATAGAAGCACAGACCGCTTTTTGCATCATTGACGAGCTCCTACAAATGTTACTGGCTATAACTTAGTTATTAAAATTATTAACGACTTCTACTATTCAATATTTGAATGACGTCTAAATGGCATTATATCCGAGAAACACATTCTAATGCAAAATTAAAAAATCAAGTGTTATCGTATAAGTCTCTACCTCGTTAAATTATAATTAGCTTATGAATCTCTGCTCGTTTCTTGAGGGAGTTAAATTTGTTTTAGTATCTAATTACATAAGCCCACCCCTATCATTACGTATTTTCATTGTATCGCATATTATTGCAATATTTATTTTGTTTTTGTTAGTCGCTAGACTTAAGATTGAACATCATTTTTGGATAACAGACAGTAACGATGATGGCTTATATACTTATTAAATGCATTTCAAATTGTTTTGTATTTTATTAGACAGTGAAATAACTCTTTCAAACATCCGCTTTAGCTTAATATCAGTAGGTAGTTACAATAAATCAAATTCAAATTATTTGAGAAAGAAAATTTAAATAATTTCGTTTTATTTTAGTATTGCCGCCCGTGGTGGTTTGAGGAACACCAGTAGATTTGTTGAGTAGAAATACATATTGAAATCGGTAACACATAGGTATGTTTTAGAATAGAAATTGTTTCTAGACTCGTTCGTTTACTAAAATGGTTAGCTTTAAATTTGTAGTTTTCCATACCCGCCCATATATTACATATTCACGATTTATACAATGTTAAAGCACATTTCGCTATTCAATTGGATTAAGCACAAACACATAGTAGAATTAACATGTGCATGATTAAGAAACAACAGCATTTTTAAATAATATTACTTAATCAAATACAATCTGTTTTTCTTTAACAAATATATATTTTTATTTTTAATTATAAACTATACTCTTGATTTTTCTTATTTACTGTTTACAATTAAGAAGGAAAATTTATTTGAATTTTAAAAAGAAAGATTGCTTAAATATTTAACAATTACATGACTTAATATTCACTAAGAAAATGTTTACTTCAGACAAAACTCTTGCCTGCGGTGCTCCTCTCCGTACTTCCCAAGCCTCCATGGACATCCACTTGGAGTCTCCTACCCTGAGTCCTAATCGCAAGATAGATCTCAAATCGAGAAGTTATCTTGTCAGACGTGAAACATTTAGAAGGCAGTATACGACGAAACATTGATATAAAGTGATCTGTTAATCGTGTAATAATGTACCTATTTAAGAAATAAATAAGACAATTATTTTATTTATTGATTTGTTTCTGTCAAGGTATGAGCAGAGATTATTTGTTTAGTGAGCTCATTAATGTTGCATGTGCGCTTGTTGGCACAGTTTGATTTGTTTGCTTTAAACGTGTTTGAGTGTACGTATCTGACGTAGCGGACTTGCATATTGCAGGTAAGTACCATTTCGACAGATTATATTTGCATGTATTGAACATTTGTTATGTACACGTTATTGATATTAAATATATAATTATTTTTAACGTAAATAAATACATAAAAAAGCACGGGTCAAATTGAAGAGGCATAACTAAACAAATATTTGATGGTTTTTTTTGCTTAAAGGTGTCAAGGTTATTGATTAAGTGAAAGCCGGTACAGCCAGTTTTTTATCACACCTATTATGAGGGATTATGTCGCGTAATGAAATAGTTGGGTAGAGGGGAACAGTTTACTTTTATGTCTGCACAAATTAAGACATTAATTGTATAGTGGTAAAAAAGTACTGGAAGGTGCTCATTTAAAAAAAAATCAACTATCAGAATGTATGGCTGTCGGGAATGCTCACACTAAAAGCAGCGACGCATATAACGTAATAATTTTTCGACCGTTGTAGTGAAAGCAAGGTGAAATTTTAGGTCGAATAGTTGTAGAGATTGATTACTAAGATTACTAAAAAAGAGCATATATTTGCAGAGCAAAAACAGCATAGATTTAGCCGCCAGCGATTATTACTGATTTCTTGGAATAAAAAGATCTTACGGAGAAAAAATTGCGAGTAATTATACTACCTATTTTGATCGGAAAGACAACTCAACAATGTTTTTTCGACAGGTAAAAAATTTTAACAAATCAATCTGAAAATGTCTAAGGGCCCCTAATTATTCCTCTTAGTAAGGGGAATATATTGAGAAGGAGCAACTTTGCTTATAAAACTTTGAGTATAATTTTACAGTTCTTGGCGTATATTCCTGGAACTTATTTACCTCCCCTCGAATGTATTTTAAGTAACTATAAACTGGTCGTCCATTATTAGTATTTTTGGTGGTTAACGTTATTTTATATTATATATATTTACAAGTACTATATATAGTATTTGCTTCTCAATTCGTCAAAAATAATTAATACGAGTCATTGTAATTGGTGGTTGTACTCAATGTCCTACAAAATTGCACTATAGACTATGGTAAGACTATAGTACATTACGTTTAAAGCTTTAAAATTTAAATATTTTTTATGAGAAAAGGCGTTACTTTGTTTATTAGGCTAATAATTACTGTACTACAGCTTTCTTAGACAAATTGCGAGTAATATGGGTGCCGAAGGGATCAAAGCTCCGGCGTCATCAATGATTTCTTTTTAATTTTTTCAGCCTAATAATAATAGTCCATTATAAATGAGTCAGGCCACTCCCAAAGATTTCCTGAGGGATATTTGCCATAGTTCCTACGCTATGTAGCTATTTGTTTATTATTAAGGGTTGTTATGAGGATTATGCCGCTGGCCATCTTTTTCATTTCCCTTTGTCGCCTCTTACGACACCAATGTGTGAGGTGGCACTGTGGATTGTCTTTCGCTGCCACCACTACATTACGAGTGAATCGTCTATTGCAAACTGAAATGTAAGTAGAAGTAAATCAGTTATTTCTACTTACTAATTTACATAAGAGTCAGTTCCAATAAAATTCAACCCGATCGAACTTATTTAATCCATACTTTTCCTTTAGTTTTTTCAGTCTTTTATTTATTACAATTTTGTCTCATAAACTATATGAGAGTTTTTCATTAATAGCTCTATGTTACTTTGGTAAAGTAAAAATGTTAGTTTTATTTTGATATATTTCTTCCGGAATTTACGGATATTGTTTCTAGCTGCCAATTAAGCGACAAAATATTATATTATAATTAATAATATAAATTTCCAAGTCGTCATTTTGGACTTTGAGTATCGCAATATTACAAAGTAGCGCCTTACACTCCTAGCAAAAGGTATATTTTGTCAAAAATAACATGATAAAGTTGCAAATTTTCCAGAGCACAGTGGCGTTGCGAGCGGCGTTCGTTGTGAGGATTCTGTCTCGGCACTCGGCTCGCGGCGCTCCCTGGCCGACACGAGCGTGACGAGTACAGCCGACCTCAGCGTATTCTCCAGCGGGCGCTCGCACGCACCCGACAACTCTCTCGACACCCATAGCAACGTCAGCGACGACGGCACTGGGTCAGATGGGTGAGATGTATTTCGTAGAAAACGAATCAAACCGTCTTACCTCAAAAAAGTGGTTTATTGATCTCGGGTTTAAACTATAGTTTAAGAAGAGTCCTTCTAACTAAAGAACTTAGCTGCGACCCGACATTTGCTGTCAAACTCCACAGGTACACTACATTTTAGTTCGCATATTACCGCGGGATATCTTTTGTGAAACGGATTTTAGTTTAAACCTGAGACTAAGTATATTCCACTTTTAGTAATAAGGTTAAATATGTCATTATAATTAGCTGTTATAACTCAAATATTTACATTCCAAATTTGTTTCTGAAGTTTATATTTTGAAAAGATTATGTTATCGTCATTAAAATGTAAAGAAAATTGGCTGTACAAAACTTGTGATGGCGCTGTCGTCACATCACAAGCCGAACGTCGTCACGTAACGAACCGAAGTCTAAATCACGCTATCAAAATTTCTGCAAGACCCTGTTTCTGGATGATATGAAACGTCCGCTCTCCTGGCGGAACACTGCCCAGTTAGAGATCTCCCGCCTTTTCTTCCACGGCCTCATACATAAATATGTTTCTCGAACATGTATATATATATAGCAGTATATAATTGTTAATGTCAAATACATTTAATCTTGTTCTAGGAGTGGTTTGCGACACTGGCGACGATTTGAACCTGAGACATATGCGTCGCAGGCGCAACCTCTGTTAAATAGGTGGTTGGCCGCTTGAAACCCTTTAGAATAGTTGCTGTATCCGTTTTCTCATAACTTCTATACTGTAATACAAGTTTCGAACCTCACATAAATACCCTGATCCATTTATGCTTCACAATCGTATACACATACTCAAATGACCTCTATTATAAAAGTACGCTGGACTGACTACACATATACACCGTGACATAAGGAGGTGATTTGGTTTTGTTCACTTTGGCGCTGATAGCAGAAGTGAGAGTCCACGGAACTAATAATAGAGATAGGACAGACACAGTGTGACAAAATATATTGATAAACATTTTATACCCTGGCCTATAACATTCTATTTATGTATCATTTTAATATAATGCTGAAAGGGACGCGGAGACAAAGTAGACTATAGATTTTAAAATTACTTCGATAGACTGACTGACACCAATATCGACTGTATGCTGTGACTGTTCTATGCAAATAAAGATGGGATAACTTTTTATTAAACTATTTACAATAATTGCGGCAGTACAATTAACTAACACTATACAGCAGGGAGCACTATTTTTACTAGAGGGATTTTCTTGATGTCTTCTTTCTTGATTATCTCTTCTCTGCCGCGTGGGGTTCGAATGAATTCCGGCGGCCAGATGCCCTTCTTTTAATGGCGCGGCGGGGATTTGGTTGCTGGCAGTGTGCAGGGCGTGCAGGGCGTGACGGGGCATGCGGGAGCGACGGGCCGGTGACTCCTCTCACCATCCGTAACAAATACCATACAATAAATAAATGTGTAATTTAATACTTACGTCTTAGACACAAGCTTTATACCTCATATAAAACAAATATCGACGCTGCGTTAGTCTATCTATGTTTTTCTTCGTAACTATAGAACGGGTTTTGTTCAGAGTAAGGAACTCGTCAACCCGTCGTCAACGTATTGAATGATTTTATGATGAATTATATTGTTTATCAAAATAGGTAATTTAAAGTAACGCATGTTAGTAATTATTACATTTAATAAGAAAAATGACAGATTTTGAAGAGCCTATATTTATCACATTTTATTTACATAATCTTTATATATAAAAAGTACGTGTCACATTGTTTGTCCGCGATGGACTCCTAAACTACTGAACTGATTTCAATTAAATTTTGCACACTGTATACATTTTGGTCCAACTTGAGAGATAGGATAGTTTTTATCCTGATAAATGATCCTCAAAATTTTTTATTGAGAATTTAAGGATTTTTATAGGGTCGTTGGAAAGGGCAGAACAACGTCTGCCTGGCGAGCTAGTATACAATATTTTATTACATACAATATTAATTTTCTTAATCATCGTCATCATTCATTATTACAACCCATCACAAGTCCACTGCTGAACATAGGCCTCCCTCAAGGAATGCCAAAAAGCATGGTCCTGAGCCTGAGCCAAGTCGTCACTCCATCTAGTGGGGGGACGCCCTACACTTCGTCCGCCGGTACGAGTCCGCCACTCGAGAACCTTTTTTCCCCATCGGTTGTCGGTTTTTCGAGCTATATGGCCGGTCCATTGCCACTTCAGCTTACTAATCCGTTGGCCTATGTCGGTCACTCTGGTTCTATTGCGGATATCCTCATTTCTAAGTTTATCATGCAGAGAAACCCCGAGCTTAGCCCTCTCCATAGCTTGCTGAGCGACCTTGAGCTTCCTCATACGACCAGCAGTGAAGGACCACGTCTCAGTTCCATAGGTCATCACTGGCAACACGCACAGGTTGTACAGTCTCGTTTTCAAGTTTTGAGGTATACCTGACGGGAAGATGTGCCGTAATGTCCCGAACGCTGCCCAGCCGAGTTGAATCCGTCGATTGACCTCTCGTTCGAAGTTGGATTTACCTAGTCGGACTATTTGTCCCAGGTAAACATACTCGTCAACAACTTCGAGCTTAGTGCTCCCAACAACTACCGGCATAGGTGTGACATGGACCCTATACATGACCTTCATTTTGTCCATGTTCATCTTAAGACCTAACAGTTGGGATACACTATTTAGGTCATTGAGCATAGATAGTGCTTAGGTCCTCCAGCGATTCTGCCATAAGGATTATATTGTCGGCAAATCGAAGGTGAGTGATCTACTCGCCATTGATGTTGATACCGTATCCTTTTCAGTCCAGTAGCTTGAAAACGTTTTCCAATGCAGCGGTGAAGAGTTTATGGGATATTACGTCACCCTGTCTTACACCTCTCTGCAGTTGGTTCGTTTTCGTACTCCGATTTTGTACTCGGATAGCCATCGTAGCCCTACTGTACAAACACTTCAACATTTCGATATACCGACAGTCAACTTGGCACCGCTGAAGGGACTGCAGCATCGCCCAAATTTCGACGGAGTCAAAGGCTTTCTCATAGTCAGACATAGTGGCAAATTGTACTCCTCGGACTTCTGTACAATTTGCCGAAGGGTATGTATGTGGTCTATGGTGCCTTTTTTTAAAGCCTTTTCGGAAACCGGCTTGTTCGGGAGGCTGGAAGTCATCGATTCTGCATGCGATATGATTCGTAATGACTCTCGAAAACAGTACGGAGACGCGGCTCAGAAGGGAAATCCGTCTGTAGTTCTTCGAGAGAGCATTGTTGCCTTTCTTAACGAACAAGACCACCGCACTTCCGCTCCACGCCTCCGGTGTAGTGTCACCATGGAGTACGGAATTAAAGAGCTGCTGAAGGACTACATGTACCTTTTTTCCAACCGCTTTCAGAAGCTTCGCTGTAATTCTATCTTCGCCGGGGGCCTTGCTGTTTTTAAGGTGCCGGAGAGCCATTCTAATCTCGCTTAGACTGACGTCCGGAATATCATCGGAATTGTGTCGGATAAGACTTACTCTTCGATCGTTACACTTGCGTGTGGTTCCAACGATGCTATGTACAGCTGCCCGTAAAACCTCTCAATCTCATTAAAAATCTCAGGTGTCCCGGAAACGACGCTGTCACACTCGGTCTTCAGCTTCGACAGTTGGCTCTTTCTGGCAGACAGATCTCTAGCCAAGACTTTGGAGCCCTGGTTCCGCGCGATCGCTTCTTCAATACGAGCAATATTAAAGACGCGTAAGTGCCCGCCGCATGCTTTTGGAGATCTGTCTGTTCAGTTGCCTGTATGCTATCAAATCTACTGAAGACTGCAGCTTCATTTACCGTCTAACAGCCATGAGATTAAGAGTGTGATCGGAAAGCTTTTGTGTTTTTCTGCGGCGGGTCTTGCAAAACTTAGCTCCGACCGCATGAACAGTTTCCACGAGCTTGCCATTCATATCGTCCACTGCATCGCAGTCTTCTAGGCACTGAAAACGGTTTTGTAACTCGAGCTGAAATGTTTCGGGACTTTGGATTAGAGCACAAGGGGGACGGAGCGTTGACTTCATTAGACGACTCCTCTCCAACTTAACGTAGGTTCAGTGTGCCTCTAACCATTCCGTGATCGCTACCAGTTTTCATCCTCGCGATCACTGAGACATCATTGAACATCGTCTGGTCGTCATAATAAAGTCAATCTCATTTTTTGTCGAATCGTCGGGGCTCGACCAGATCCACTTCCTGTGGGGCGCTTCTGGAAGAAAGAGTTCATCATAAAGAGTCCCTCTTTCTCCATGAAGTCGGCCAGCTGCTGGCCTCTTGGGTTCCGTTGCCCTATTCCGAATTTCCCTACTTTCAGTTGTGCCTAGTTATGCGTTGAAGTCTCACCTTATTAACACCGTATAGTGGATTTTGTAGGAATGCATGGCTCTAGAGATATCCTCATACATTTCATCCACCTCCTCATCGGGGTGTGCCGAGGTTGATGCGTAAACCTGTATGACCTTCAGCGAATACTGTTTTGGTGATTCTGAGTGTAAGGTACTCAACCCTCGTCGACACACTCTCCATCTTTACAACGTTGTTAACGAGAGACTTGTGAATGATAATCCGACACCTCTTTGGGACAGATGGTCGCCCTCTCGGTGATAGAACAAGTTGCCGGATTCGAGGATTACCGTGTCGTCCCTCTCTTCGGACCTCGGATAATCCTATAATATTTCAGCGCAACTTGTTTTTCTCTTCTTTCAGCTCCAGGATCTTCTCGTCAGTCTTTCAGTTGTGCGTGCGTTATAAGTTGCCAGGTCGAGTCGTCTTAGGTGGCAACCGAACCTCCACCGGAGATTCTTAGCACCCCCTGCCCCGCCGTTATCATGGTCGCCACCGTAGCCAGGAATAGCGGGGCCGCCGGGAACTGGGGGCCGCCTCTTCGTAACTTTATTTATTGGGGGTATATTGCCATAGTTGCCACACTTGGCGAGCGGGTT